GCAGACAGTCAACACAAGTAACACAGTGAGGTCAGGCCTTCTGGGTCTGGATGGAAGCCYGGCATCAACACTCATTCTGTGAGCTTAGGCAATTCAATTTCTGAACCTTGGTTTTCTCATCAGTACCAAGATGATAATAGCTACTTTGTAAGATTGTTGGAAAGGCTAAAAAGTTAATGCAAGTGATGGTGACATTAGCTACCACTACTCTCATCACACTGGCTTATTTAGGAGGGGTGGAAAGATACCACATGAAGAGCAAAAGGTGGGAAGAGTTATAAACTCAGGTTGCAGTGGTGGCCTTGTTTTATCACCAGCAAAGCTCCTCTTAGAAACGCCTTTCTACTTATGTGATTGCCACCCTTGAGGAAATTAATCAAGTGATAAATAAGAAAAAGTTTCTGGAGGGAAAAATGAAATGCAAGTCACTCCACAGCATAGCTGCCCTACTGCTCTTCCTACAGGAAGACACCTGACCTTTAAGCTAAATGGCCAAACCACTTACTAACCACTCATCAAGTGGTTGTTTTTGCAAAGCCAGGTAAACTGTCTCTAAAGAATAACCAAAGACATCTACTGCATGCTGGTGATGGTGTAGGAATCCACCCTAAGTTTGAGAAGACATGGTCTCTGAAGGTAAAAGATGGCTAAATTTCATAAATACCTGTGGATTTGTACCTGTTAAGTCCTGCTCACTAATGTGCTGCTAGGAGCTCCTTAGGGATGTCTCAATAAGAGGAGGAATAAATCACTTAATTATTTGGCAAAAACTGTAAAGGCAGGTTGATGACTACAGAGGGGAAAATACACTAAGACTGTCCTGTTTATAAGGTGATTTCCAAATTCTTAAGGAGCTTGATATATAGAACAGTGGTAGAACACTTGGCCAGCATGCATGAGGTCTTGGTTTCAATTCCCAGTACCCCCCACCTCCACATATACACAAATTCCTTTGATCTCGGTGTGGTGGCACATTTTTATAGTCTTAGCTATTAGACACTGAGGCAAGAGGATCGCTTGAGCCCAGTTGAACACAGTGAGATCCCATCTCAAAACAAAACAAAATCATAAGGAAATACAGAAAGTCCAGAATAACCAGGGAAAAGAAGCACTATAAAGGCCTCAGGCCAGCTGACATCAAGAGCCATCATGAGGATGCAGAGATTATAACAGTGGGCACAGTTTCGAAGATTAACAAGTTGGCCAGTGGGTAGAAGAGAGCCCAGAAATAGGTCCCRCCAGGATCCTACACAGGAAAATTGTGAAATCGACACAGTGAGGAAGGGACAGTTTTTCTCAATAACTAACACTGGATAGCTGGAAATAAGGTAACATTTCTTCCTTAAACCCTACCTCTCATTATTAACACAAATCAATTCAGCAAATTTCAGATTTAAATGTGAAAGATAAAAAAGAAAAGAAAAAAACATAATAGAGCACCTTCATGACCCTGGAGTAGATGGAACGCTGCTTATTCAGAACATGCTCACTATGAAGGAGAACATGAGGAATCTGTTCTCCATTAAAATGCAGAACATTTTTTTTCACCAAATATATTCATACAACACAATGCATTCAACAAGACTTGTGTCCAGAAGAGATACATTTAAACCACCATGTCAATGTTAAAAGACAATCAATGCAACAGAAAAATGGGCACTTTCACACAAGGACAATCCAGGGCCAATATAATAAGTCTATGGAAAGTGCTCTATCTCATTAACAATCAGTGGAACAAAATCTGAAGCCACAAGATGCCATTGCACACCCACAAGGATAAAGTGAAAAAGACCCACACCAGAGCTGGTGAGACTATGGGACAAATGCAACTCTGGAAAGCTGGCAGTAGTCAATAAAGGTGAACATGACACATGTACTGTGGCCCTACAGTTCTACTCTACGGCAGAACTATAAAACTACGTGCACAATAATTCATGTGCTAGAATAATCGGGGAAGTACCAACAGTTCCAAAGCTGTAAATGAACCAAACATCCATCAGATAAATAATATGTGGTTTATTCACACAATGGAATACTATACAACCGTGAGAATGAACCATGTACAAATACTTACAACAAAAAAATTCACATACTGTTGAGTGAAACAAGCCAGATACAAAGAATGCATAATGTTCAATTCCATTCACATAACATCTCAAACAAGACAAAACTAGTCTATGCTCTTCTAGCTGGATAGTGGTTATCATGTGTGTGTGTGTGTGTGGGGGGGGGGGACAGTGGTCAGAAGGAAGCCTGAGAGGAACCTGGGTGTGAGTGCATGTATGTATTCTGCTAGTGAAGTGTCACTGAGGTCTGTATAGATGTCCTCTTTCAATAAAAAGTGAGAACAAAACCATCTGCCTCTGCCTGACTCCTCTGCTCAGACCACAGACATGTTCCCTTGCATTCTCTGCTCAGCCAAGGTCCACTACTTGTGCTGCCTTGCAGGTGGTGTGAGGAGCAGTGCTCCCCAACACAGAGACCTGCAGGTCTGGCTGCTGGCAGCAAGCCTCACCCTGTGAGTCCAAGCCCAGCTTTCCTCCTCACCAGCATGTTCAAGTACTGGAGCATGCTCTCTACCTCTCTCCACAAGCCTCTCCTTCAGGAACCAATGCTCTTCTCAGGAAACATGCAATTAAGTACTCAAGTTTTGAGCCCAAATGGTGGAGCCCCAACAGCTAACACCTCAGGCTTCAGGTAGTGAATGGGTGAGGATCATCTGGACCACACCCTTGGAGGTTTGTGACATGCAAGTGGACTGCAGGCACATCTTGGATGGGGTGATAAATTGCTGCCTCTGTTTTGGGCAAATCTGTATCCTCTCTAACCCAATTATCTCACTGAAAGGAAAATAATGGTGCTCACACGATGAAGAGTTGTTGTAAGGATCAAAATGAATTACCATATGTAAAACATTTAAAAAAGCAACTGACACAAGGTAGGAGATTCATAAATGTGAGCTGTCAACGTTGGCTTTATCTAAGGTGTGCTCGCCCCAAGGAAGGAAGACCCAGGGTGAGTCTAGAGAGTAGAGGGCTTGGGGTTCACCCAAGAGTCCCCACAGCCAAACTTTAGGGCACATTTCCAGGTATATTATGTCTCAATTCTGCAGAGAAGCATATAGGTACATGCGTCAGGACTAAATGGAACAGAGAGAAACTGTAAAACACAGCAGGGCAGAAAAGCTGACAATCCCCGGCCCAGTCCCACATGGATCTACTACTAAGTAAACATGCAGTCACTGCATTCAAATAAAGAATCAGGACCATTGCTATCAGAGGGAGGGACATAAAACATTTCTCGGATGCTTAGTATTTGATGTAACAGCAGCTAGCGAGGTGGTGCCATCAGACCCAAGTGTAATATGACCACTGGGGCCTAAACATCACAGGCATTTTGGTACAACTTCTATTCCAGGGTCCAGGCCCCTGGATATGGCCTCTACTTTGCAAGCCTAGAGACCTTTGCAGTGACTGGCTCAAGATGACCTACGTACAAAGCCTGAGGTAGATGAGGGAAAGTCAGCTTGTGAAACAAAACCACCAGGAGCCACACTGCCACTCTGAACCTGTGGGTAGGCCTACACAAGAAGCTTCATCTTCATCGAAAGTAAACCTGAGGGCTAGGGAAATAGCTCAGTTGGCAGAGTGCTTGCCTCGCAGCACCATAAAAAAGAAAAAAAAAAACAAAAGGGAAACCTGAATGCAAATCAGAGTACCACACTGGCAACAAGCTAAGAGGCTGAAGGATACGTTCTGCTTTTCACTAAGCAACACTGCACCCTACCTCACCAGGTGCTTGCTTCACTCACACCTGCTGYTCTGATCATCTAACACATGAAGTCAGGCAGTGATCACACTTCCTAGACTTCCAACATGGGGTGAAGGAGTGGGTCAAGGAACCCACTGTACTGACCATGAACCTTTCAGTCATTACATGCTCATTAACATAAGTGAAAGCCTCTACTCAATGCCTTTTCTCACTGAAGCCAGGCTAAAGTTTTCTTGGGAAACACAGTGGACTCAGGCACAAGAAGGCCCAGCTCACTATGCCAAGTCAGGTCTGCCACCCGCTGCAAATGAGAATGCCAGAGGTGTGCTTGAAACTGCTGGAATTTACTAGCTCCCCTCCCTGAACACTGTGGCCACCATCTTTCCCTGAGTAGATTCTAGGCCCCAAGAATTCAATGTTAGTGTTCTTGGTAGCACCAAAATGTGGCCATGTTCCTACATCAATTATCTACTTCTCAGGTTGTGTCTTTCCTAAATAGCTGATCTGATCTTCATTTCTAATTTCATCCTTGGAGGATAACTACTGAGCAGGTCTGTGAGTACCCTGGAGCCACTCCCATGAACTGCCTACCTCAATGGGCTCTTCCTGGCCCAAAAGAGAAAAATCAGGCCCCTCTCATTGGATATGTCTTGAATCAACCATTCAGACTATGGGATGTTCCAGCTTTCTCCTCTGGTGATGAGTAATGATGAACAGGGTGCCTTTTCCAGTCCTTCTCCTAAAGGATCATCCTCAGTCACTGTCCAGACACTTAACTGTTGCAAGGAGAGGTAGGGGAGTGGAAGAACAGGTAAGGCAGAGCAGCACACAAAGCACATGGGAGAAGGGTGATTGCCTAAATAAGAGCACAGTGTGCTCCTCCCACACCTCCCTAGCACAATTACCAAACCTCTGCTGGCCAATAGTGGTCGCCAGCCAGATACACTAATGCTAGTTTTCCAAGTGACATAAGGCAAGCCACCACCAAGGCAAAAAGACTTGATTTTTGTAAAACTGACAGATTGCAGAAGGAATAGAAATAAGGAAGGAAACTCTTGCTAAAAAGAAGCTTGCTACTCTAACACCATGAGYAACATATAAACCAATTAAAAGACTATGTTTCTAAAACAAGTACTGTAGATAATTATAGAAAGTAATGTCTTTGTAAGCCATGCTTTAAATAAACCATTTAAAAAAGAATACACAATCGCTCTAYTTTGATCTTAATGTTTCTCAGTTCATCCAAACACTGGCATGTTTCCTGAATGCTGGCATAACATAAGGACAACAGTTCATATAAGCATGTTTTGGAAGAGTAGTCAATTATACAAATGACAATTTTAATGACAATTACAATGGTTCTGAAATTGCTTACTTCTGCATGGGAACCTGGATCTAACATCAGTGAGGATTAATCTGAAGTCTAAGCATTTACTTCCTCTACAGTCCTATGTGCCTGTTGCAGTTACATATACAAATCTGAAAAAATTTCCAACAGGCTTACAAGAAAGGGACTTTCACTAAATAAATCTTGAGAAAAATTAGTTACGGCATCACTGTTCAATGAAGGTAAATGTCTAATTACAATTTTGACAAATGGATATATTAATGCTATTGTAGGAAATTAAAATTCCAAAATAACTCTATGTTGCTATCTAAAATGTTCTAAACAGTTTCAGAATTGCAACATATTAACAAATAATTATTCATATCAAAATGCAGTTGATAAAAATTCTAGCTAGGCAACTTTTATGACTATCTAAAATCAAGTTTTAAATTTATAACTTTAGCAACATATATTGAACATTTGCATTCAAATGTACAGAAAGCAATCCATTTAATCTTGAAAACTAATATGTAACAAAACATGGAAATGAGCCCACACTGGTAATCCAGAATGTGCCCTCTCCACCACGCAGCTGCAGCAAGTATGACATGTAAACAACACTCGACAACTCAGCACTGTGAAGAATTCAGCTGCTTCAACAAGTTGTGTTATCGTTTTTATAAGCTAAGACAGTACAGGCAAATGGAATTCTTAGAACATTACCTGAAAATAGATTTTTAAAGACAAAGGTCCCAATTCATTCTTACCTATACACACCAAGTTAATCTGTCACAGACAGCAAATGCTGAATTTACACACTGGAGTTTCCGGCAGCATCCTGTACATTTACAATTAATTTATAATTAAAATAAACAAGAGAGCTGTCAGATCTATGAGATGGATTGTTCAAATCTGTGTAGGGTGGAGAATTGCTTTGGGGCCACTGCATAAGTGCTCACTGCTGCTTCTCAAAGGCAAAAACCAAGTAAATACCTAAAGAAAAAAAAATATTAACAGTTTACTTTTTTCTCATCCACAGGATAAACAAATCTCAGTCCAATTCATAATCTGGTGAAAATTCTTAGGCTGGCATTTGAAGAAGAAAAACTTCATTAGTTTTTCAGGTTCTTCTATTATCTGAGTCATATTTAGGCAGAGATGGGATCATTTCCATTTGCTTAAAAAAAAAAAAAATTAACCTGATACAGTAATAATACCAAATTCCTTGGGGAAATCAATTCAACAGCTCTAAAAGCCCTAAAAACCATTTAGGGCAAGAAAAACTAAAAGTATAAAAGCAAAGAAAACTAAAATCAAAACATCTTATAACTCAAATCTTTTTACTTGAAACAAAGTATTTAGACAGAATAATTATATTACAATAAACACTAGCTAGTGGCAATGGAAATCTAAATTTTCTGTTTAAAAGACTCAAAAACAACATGAAGATATAAAAAAAGGGCATAATTTAAAACTAGTCAGAGAAAATATACAGGAATATATACAACATGACACATTCAAATTCATCCAATTACSTAATTATGTTGTAGGGCCCAGGAAGGATATTTAAGGTACTATTTAACTGTCTCCAACAGTAACATTTCTGCATGCATTTATTTCCAAGAGAACTTGCTTAAATAAGATATCTTGCTTTGACAAGTGATCACTCAAAGGCAGCTAAATGAATCTGATTCCCTGTTCTGCATTACACTGAAGTCCAAACCTATTACATCTTCTAATAAAATACCAATAGACTGTAGGGCAAAAATACTCCAAAAAGGGGACAAATCCTGAAAACACCACAAGGGATGTTCAGGGCACTAGATACTCAACAGCAAGTCAGGACAAAGGCCATGTAAATTAAGCTGACTCTGGAACCTGCACAGGAAGATATACCTGTCTTCATAAAACTCTACTTTGGTCACACTACTCTGCTGCTCCTTATTTATTAGCTTTCCATTTCTTTCAGTTGAAATGAAATGTGGCTGCCACATGCAGATGCATGAGCAGGAAACAGTCAGTGATCAACCACCACACAACCCTGCTGTTTAGCACGCATAGGCAGGCCAAGAGACTCAGCTGACAGATGGCTTACAAGGGCTGGTCCCCTCCTTCTGTAGTGCAGCCCTGCCAAGTCACATACCCTGTCCAACTACTGCCACTGCAAGGACCCCTGGGTGTAACTATGGCCACTGCCATGACTGTCTGGTTCTCTCCATCTGCTGAAGAAATGCCTTGCTTCAGAGACCTGCCAGACCCCTGGATTCTCCTCTGAAGACAGGGCCGCACTTCAGCATGCCTTCCTGCCAGGCCTATTTCCCATCCACACTCCTACCAAGATCCCAGGCCCACTGCGGCTTCACTAAAGGTTCTAGTATCATGACTTCACTGCCATCATTGGAATGGCCAGAACTAAATAAAATACACAGATGTGACATCTAAGCCAAAAAATATTTTGGGGTGAAGACCCCAAATAGAGACAGCTGTTTAGTTATAAGGAGGCAGTGAAAAATGTCTATGTATGCTAGAAAAAGTTAGGGCTTGGCAAGAGCCTGCATATATTTTCTCTAGTTATTCCACAGTTGTGCAAGAAAAGTGGATGGGACATACACAGAGACACAGGTAATTTCTGTGCTGTTTTAAACATCAACACACAGCACCTCAACTGTGTCAGAAAAATTCTAAAATTTTCCACTTTTAATGATCCTTTCAAATAATCTGTAATTATAAGTTAACCAGCTTTGATGATGTACTCACTTGTAGCTTCCCATTCTGATTTACTTAAGGTTCCCTAAAATTAAAAAAGAAAGACAATTTTAGATATAACACGGAAGTAAACATAAACTGATTTTTCAATAGTGGACTAAGAAGGCCACCCACCCTCCCAACTTTCCTGTAAGCATATGCACAAATTACTGAAAAGCATCATGACCTGAGCACATAAAAGAAACCAATGAGAGTTAGCTTCCCCCACCACCAGGGCTGTACTAGGCATTGATCCCATGGCATATCACATTCTAGGTAATAAGCACTCTGCCACCGAGCTATGTCCCAAGCCTGAGATTAATTTTTAAAAACATCTTTTCACCGCTTGTGTCCTCCCACCAAAAAGGATGAATATATCTAAAGTATTTCTTAATTTTTTTACTTGAAAAATGAAAAAAAATTTAAAGTCCATCTTATAACATCAAAGAGCACTTGAAGAATATTTTTCTGTTTTCCAAAAGAACTCTAAAAGAAAGTACAGACCACACAAAAGAAATTATGTTTAGTTATCAAAACATTGAACATTTCAGTCTAAAAACATGTGCTGCTATACACTCATCCAACAAGTGCTAGTGGCAGCTCTTGGACCTAATTCAATTCTGAAGAAGCAATGAATGGAAACAATATTCCAGGACACCAGAGAAGCATGCCATCATGACGACTATAGCTTCCACTGTGACAAAAGCACAGCAATAGCAGACACCACCATGGTACAGTTATGTCCACAAGTTAAAAAGAAGATCGTCCACAGAAATAAGAATGAGGATGTCCTTCCCCCATTCCAGCCAGAGCACTCAGCCCTGAGTCAGCAGCACCCAGGGAAGCAGGGCAACCTGTAGACTGTGCCTGTAACTTTCCCCATCTCTACTGTCTCAGACATAGCACTCCATGCTCAATTCACCTAAATAAGTTTGATTCTATATTCTGTGGCACCAAAGCCATTATAAGTTAGGGGAAGCATACTATGGTATATTCGAGTTGTAACTCACTGAACCCAGTACTGTAAACAAGTGGGTTTCCCAAGTTTCCATGTACACACATCTTAATGTATGCTTTTCCCATTTCCTAGAAAATACTTCAAAAAATGAACCCTTACCAAAGGTAACCTTACGTGACTGTTCTTCACGTACTCTGCTGCATGTTCATAGTCATCCACCTTCTCAGAGATGAGCTTTGAATTCTCATTTGCAGGATAAGGCTAGGGGAACATTAAATTCTAACTGAAGATATCACATTGACATTTACAATTCAGAACACAGTAAATCACTGCAATAAAATAATAGGAGTAATCCAAAAGTGCTACTTCAGGGTTATAAACTACACATATTTCTGAAATATGGAGGGGAAAAAAGGTGGGGAAGTGTTATGAGGTGGCCACCAAAAGATCATGTGTGAGAATGATCAGAGATAAAATGATTAGTTTATRAGTTGTAGCCCAATCAATGGACTAATCCACTGACATAGATTAACTGGGTGGTAACTGTAGGCAGTAGGGTGTACCTAGGGAACAGGTCACTAGGGTTGTGACTTTGGGGTTTATATTTTTTCCCTGGTGAGTGGAATTCTCTCAACTTCCTGGTTGCCATGTCCTGAGCAGCTTTGCTCGGTCATGCTCCTCCACAATGATGTTTGCCTTACCTTGGGCCCAGAGCTATGGAGCTGGCTGACCGTGGACTGAATCTCTGGAACCATGAGCCCCAAATAAACTTTTCCTCCTCTAAGTTGTTCTTGTCAGGTCTTTAGGTCACAGCAATGAAAAGCTGACTAAAATGGAAGGAATCCTCTCTTAAAGCAGTTATTATGGCCAATTTTTATCACAATATTGGAATATTCATGGCTGGAACAAACTATATAATTTAATTACAACCCAGGACCATTTAGTGGCACAAACTGCATCTTCTTAACAGCCACTCAGAGATTTCTTCTCTTAGAATACAAAGCTTAGAAGAGGTATTACCAAAAGAGCTAAATGTTAATATGATGGCAATGCAATAGCAATTAGAAATAATACATATAAAAAATTCAAGTCAACAGAAGCCTTTGTTTAGGATAGTAAAACATGTGGCTGGAWACAGTAGCATGTGCCTGTAATCCCATGGACTCAGGAGGCTGAGCTAGGAAGATTGCAAGTCCTGTCTCAGTGAGACCCTGTCCCCCCCCMAAAAAAAGAAAAAAAAAATGTCAAGGATGTAGCTCAGTGGTAAAGCACTTCTGGGTTAATACCCAGTACCACCAAAAAACAAAACAGAAGATGCAAGTTCAAAAAGGTAAGACTTTTATGGCAAATATCAAATTTAAATCTCTTTCTTAGACTAAAGCTAACTCTTCTTTCCACCTCTAGTCTCAATGCACCTCCAAACCATCCTCCATAATACAACCCAAGTAACATCTTCTTATCAGGTCCTGGTCGCTCCTTCAAGTCATTTAGAGGCCATCATAAGAGTCTTGGTCAAGAAGTAGGAAAAAACTAAAGGACTTTTCCAAGCTGTGTGCTATCATTGCTTATGTTCCAGAGAGCCATGGTGATAGGTCATATTTTCAAGGCAGCACAGGGGAGAAGGAAAAATGGAGAAGAATGTGCTAAAGAAATACGACATTTATTACTACTTGCTTGAGCATCCACAGCTCTTGTGCTTCTCAGCCTTTTCCCTTYATGACTTCATTTTCAAGACGGCTAGTACTCTCACATCAAGCTAAATTCTTTGCTTGTGTGTATAAGTGTTTAACACACCATAAATCCATGTTATCTCATACCCCATCTTCTAAGTACATTTTAAATAAGTTACACAAATGAATTCATCACTTAGTGTGCTAAGCATAAATAACCATTGTGCATGCAAAGCCTGTCAGTAAGTGCAGTGTGCTAAAGGCATAAAGCATGTGGGGACATAAGATGCAGAGTTTCCAGTTTTCTCCTTTCCATCAAGACAAAYGAAATAAGCTCCTGCTCTGAATACAGCACAAACAAAAACATTCCTAATTCTAAAACACAGGAAACATAACTAATGAACATTTAATTGACACTGGGTTGCAAAAGACCACTTAAGACTTAAAGAAAATCTTCTCACTTCATCTTGTGGGCATGGATGAAACTTCAACATGAGACTTTTGACTACTACCTATAACACTAAACAAAATATAAAAGCTAATAGCTATGTGAACTTGAACAACTCATTTTTCCTCTTTGGGCCTTGGGTTGCCCATTCAAAAGATGTGAAAAGTAAGATGGGGGCAGATGGCAGGAAAATCAGAGGGAAATCAGTAGAAGAAAGGAACCAAGGAGTAGGAGTGAGGGAAGAAGGAGGGAAGTGCTAGGAAGTAATAATGGCTAAATTACATTCATATATGACATATATGTGTACAAATGTGTCACAACAAATCCCATTGTTATGCACAACTATAACGCACCAGTAAAAAATGTGGAAAAGAGTACAGAAAAAGGGGGAGGGGCTGGGGATGTGGCTCAAGCGGTAGCATGCTAGCCTGACATGCGTGTGGCCTGGGTTCGATCCTCAGCACCACATACAAACAAAGATGTTGTGTCCGCCGAAAACTAAAAAATAAATATTAAAATTCTCTCTCTCTCTCTTTTAAAAAAAAAATAATAAGAAAAAGGGGGAAAGGTGACTGCTTTTATTAATTTATAGGGTAATTATGAGAATAAGATGAAGTATGCTTCAAGTAATTAAAAGAATATTCTGAATTCAATGAACTCTCTGAACTTTAATGCCATTTTAAGTATACTTCTGGTCTGTGAACCTGGTCAACAATAAGCATCTCACTGAATAGTTGAGATCTTTCAATTAAACACTGCTTGATAAAGGAAAAAAAGAAATACAATCAATGACTGTTTATAGTTTGTAGACTCCTTCACTGCTTTATTAGGAGGACAAGAGACCCAGCAACAATAGCATAACAGACTAAAGTCTTGCTAAATAGTTATCAAAGATCAAAATTACAAATGGTGTGAGCTTATTTTACACTTTGGCCAAGAAGGTTCTAAAATTCTGATGTAATCACAGGGCAGTGTTGTAAAGGAACCGKTTTCATCTGTGGGTAATTTTACCTACCAGGGGATATTTGCCTGTGTGTTACTGGGGCCCAGGAGTACTATTGGCAGGCATCTAGTGAATAGAGCCAGGAATGCTCCTGAACACCCGAGGGTGCCCAGAACAGCATCTCACCACAAAGAAATATCCAGTCCCCCATGCCAACTGTCCTGAGGCTACTGTAAAACAGTGCACTGAATTTGATAATAGCATCATTCATTCCTTCATTAAGTAGTTACTTAGTACCCATCATGGAAAGTTTCTGTATCAAGCTCTGTCCTAGGAGCTGAACAGTCCTGAGCAGTTATGACAATCTGTATAATATAAATATAACATATGACACACCTAACTAGTATCTAAACAGACTTGAAAGTATCTCAAGAGCAGTCAAACAGGTTCACCACATCTGGAATTTTTTTTATCTTTTCTAAACACTTACCTCCAGGGCCTGCATTCGTTTYAATAGCATTTTATTTTCATTGTTCTTAATTTTTTCTTCATAGAATTCCAGAAATGTTTTTTTGTAGACTAGTTTCATATTGTACTTCTTTGCCATTCTGTCCAAAAAAGATTAATAAAAAGGCTTTCAAAATGTTCCTCAGCAGCTTACTTTTGCAGTGAAAACAGTGACATCAGGGCTTAACTCTAAAAGTGATTATTTCTATCATAAATTTATAAGAGTTAAAAATAAAAAACTGAAGAGTTGACATACTGATAACCCCACCAACAAAGACATGCATTCTAAATCCTAGTGAGTAGCTTCTGTTTCCTAAAAAGTCAGTCAGGAAATGAAAGAAAGAATAACTTCTCAGAGGCTGCAAGGAATACTTTTTTACCAATTCCATTTTATTTTGGCTGATACACTATGGCTGCATTGAAAACAGCTGCCAGCTGCCTTTTTAAAAGACTCACTCTCATCTCTCTGGCAGGATGCACTATTAACTTTAACACACATCTTGGACTGCTTCTTTTTAGTTTATTTTATAGGTTTCTTTTAACCTGACTTCTAAGTTTCAAGGGTTTGAGAGAGTGTGGCTCAGAGCCTCTCTTGCCTGTCCTGACTACCCAGCAYGCTGAAAGCTGTCTGAGGCTCGCTCTCTCTGGTCATATTCCATTACTCCATTGCTTATCAGATACCACTCCCCCGTGTGTCATGTCCTCGAACTTCTCATATCCAAGGCTGAACCTCATGACTGCTTTTCTGCCAATCTCTGCTTCTGCAGTAGATCCATGTCTCGGTCTCCTACATGGACTATGCTTGTACTTGACCGAGTCCTTTAGTGTCCACTTCCTACCCCTTCACTTGCAACCATCCTGCACCAATCATCATCATTTCGCTGTTTCAGTCCAGAAACCATTTTACTCGTCTCCTGTTTCCAGTTTTATCCTCTCTCAATAGGACCAAATAAGTTTTCAAAAAGATAACCTTGGTCATATCACTACCCTCTTTAGCCTCCTTCACTGAACTCCAGTGTACTTGGGACACAATTTGGAAGCTCTGAACATGGCTTTTGAGGCACTCATTTATAAAGGGATGCTGCCATCTCTCAAGTGGCTGGGCCCTGATTCCCTGTGATCCAGTCACAGTGGCTTTCCTTCAGTTCATGGCACTAGCCAAGCTTTCCCACTTCCAGACTCTTGCACAGTGTCCATTATGTTAGAAACACTCTTCCTGCCTTCAACTATCCATTCATCCTTCGTACCCTGACTTAGCGCTCCTTCACAGGTGTCTTCCTGAAATCCTCAAGTGTCTCCTATTACACCATGGGTTTGTTTTCTACACTCTATCTTCAAAGTTTATAAAAATTATGTATGTGTTGACAACAATAAGAGCCTTAATGATTTTAAGGAGCAGGTAAGGAGGAGAGGGGAAGCTGGGCAGAGTGGTGCATACCTGTAATCCTAGCTACTCAGAAGGCTGAGGCAGGAGGATCACAAATTTGACTCCAGCCTATGCAACTTAGCAAGCTCTGACACAAATAAAAAGGGCTGGGGACAGCTCAGTAGAAGAAGAGTGCTTACCTAGCATGCAGGAGGTCCTGGATTCAATCCCAGTACCATCAAAAAAGGGGAAAAAGGAGAGAGAGAGGAAGGGGAAAACCCTCATAAGGCAGGTGGGAGGGCTTGAGTGTGAGGGGACAGCAGACAGGTAACTGAGGCCCCTCTGTTATCTCAATTAGCCCTTCTTGGAAAGTCAGCATGAGCAAAGATAAGTCTCTGATTCTATCAATCTTCAAAGAAAGTCTTTAGAAAGGAAACCAGGTTTTATACCTAAAAATATCCCAATTACAAGGAACCAAATTTGGATAACAAGAACTGGTTTTGCAGTAAAAGCTATTTATATTTTTATTCAGGTTTTTATTGGAAAAGGGCATCTTAAAACTGCTATCATTTTCAGACTGTCTCATTAAGTACCTGTTTGAATAAATTAATTAAAAATTAGATATTAAAACTGAGTACTGTGATTCATAAGTTTATCCAATTAGGCAAGTTGTCATTATTAGGCAGCAGGTAGACTGGTAAGTTTGTGTAGCACTTATGAAGAATAAAACTGTTTCTTCTTCTATAAAGTTTGAAGAGTGGTAAATTTCTCCAAAGCTAACTAAATCTTAAGAATTTAAAAAAATGTTAYAAATAGCTAATATTTATAAAATCATACATAGAATTTTCCTCATGTCTAGTCATAATGTTACTTGACCTTCYTATACCATTGTATAGAACTTGTACATATTATAAACTCCTAAAAACCTTATAACCATAATTTTAAAAACTAACTTGAGTCCCAATTTAAACAATCACCAAGCAAAACTAAGCAGACAATAAAACTTGCTTTTCTCAGTTGATAGTTAACAGATTTTTATTTTCAAAAAGTAGGGAACTGAGTTTGGTCAGCTGTCACATGGGCTCCATTTAAGTGGATCTTATCTTCTCCCCACCAGGGAAATCACCAATATCAAGACATATGAGAGGGCCTCAAAGCTTTACCTGATAGAGCCCAGCATCACAACTATTCCTACAATCTAGAGTTTGCCAGGACTCTTGGGAATTCAGGCACATGGGAGAATACACTCCTGAATCAGGATTTTATTATCAACACTGCTGGTAAGATATAGGCAATTGCAAAACTATACTGAAATGCAAGACTTTGATACACAGCTCATTCAAAAGAAGGACTTTTGATTTAATAAAACTCATTTTATACTAGCAAAATTACAAGCAGTTGGGTAAAGAAAAGCTTTTTGCTAACTGTAAAGTCAGCTATTTTCTGTTACAAGGTGAAAGCAACTGGCTCTTTTTCTTAAATAACTACAGGACTAAAGAAAATTTGGGATATAGGAAGCCTAGGGAACCAATCCTGGATCTGAGGCTACCATCTTGTATACATGGCTAGACCTTTCCTTTGGACCCCATTTAAAATAGAGGATAAGAAGCAATATTGGTTTTTCTTCCCCTTTCTTTTACTCATAAGACAAAAAAAGAATAGTAACAGATAAATGACATTCTTACTCAGTTAGCAATGGAAAATAGACCAAGAATTCAGGAACATCCACAACACCTTCCAAGTTGAAGTCATATTTGCAGCCAAATAAGGGATAATGTCCTTTCTTCTCAAACTTCACAGTATAGATTTCATTTCCAAATGATTCTGTTTCTGAAGCTTCAAGGCGTCTTCTAGAAGAGTTATTCCCCAACCCCAACAAAAATATTAAAATTGTGATCAGTATAAATTATTTAAACCAGATTATGTATTTGAAAAGCTATATGATGCAATTGCAAGACACTTGATTGACTCTGTAACTGGATCCAAGCTACTTTTAAGAATCAGCATACTATAAGACCATTAACAGTCTCACTAATAAAATTAAGCTAGAAGGTATCACTTTCGTGACAGCTGGGCTAAGTCTTTGGGCCTCAGCAGCTGACTGGGGAGTCTGCCTACAACTATAACCTCTGGCTTAATGTAAGTAAGTCTCCAACTTCCACATAAGATTTTTAAAAATTCATCTTTGAGCATCTACTCAAATACATTATCAAAGTGGTCAGCATTTGTAAAACTAAATGGCATATTTGTATAAATTTTATTTGTGATCAAAATGTGCTACTTAATTCTGTAAGCTTAATGTTAAATATTCTATAAACTCAAAGTAGTTAAAAGTGCTTACATTAGCTCAAAGCTGTTAGGAGTTGTACCAATAAAATAACCTCCAGGACCGAGTCTCTCACAGGCATTTCTGAGCATCATGTCGGCCTGCTCAGAGGACTCAAATGAGTAATGACAGACAAACTGACAACTACAGATGTCAAAGCGCACTTCTGGGTCACGAAATTTGTCAGCCAAAAGTTCCTGAAACAAATTAAATGGGTTAAGGTTTTGAATTAACAGCATAGATTAAAAACTTTACTTAAATTAATTCCCAGAATTTAGGATTCTTAAAATATGCCCTGCCAACTAATMTTTGTTCAAAATCTTCAAACTGTTTTTTTCCGTGTTATATGTAAGAACCTTAAAAGAAATCATTCTTTCATTCTAGTTTAAAAGACTAACTTGCTTCCCATTTTCAGAATAATTTAAAAATGTAGGCCTTAGGGCTGGGGTTGTAGCTCAGCGGTCGAGTGCTCGCCTAGCACGTGCAAGGCCCTGGGTTCAATTTTCAGCACCACATAAAAAGAAGTAAATAAAGGTATTGTGTCCAATTACAACTAAAAAATAAATATTTTTTTAAAAAATGTAAGCCTAAAAATCACATTAAAAGTTAATCAAGCTGGGTGCTGATGGTGCATGCCTATAATCCCAGTGGCTCGGGAGGTTGAGGCAGGAGGATCTCGAGTCAGCCTCAGCAAAAAGCGAGATGCCAAGCAACTCAGTGAGACCCTGTCTCTAAATAAAATATAAAATAGGACTGGGGATGTGGTTCAGTGGTCAAGTATCCCCTGAGTCCAATYCCAGGAACCAGGAAAAAAAAAATCAAATATGACTCTTAAAAAATTAATCCCTTCATTTGGCTTTACTTGACAGCTAAAGTAAAATGACATCCAATAACAACTTGGGTTAAAAAAAGAGAAAAACCTGACCTTTGGAATCTTAAATAAATACAAGTGTTTACTACATTTCTTTCTTACTTCCAAAATTATAAACAAAATGTGTACAGTGATTAAAGCCACCCAATGTTTAAATGAGCTAACAAAGTCAAACAAGCAGCACCAATTTCACAGTGGATCTTCACTGCTCAAGTACCTCTACAACTCTTCAATCTTAAATAGTTCAGAAATTTCAAAACAGGTGGAAGTGGGCTGGGGAAATAGCTCATTTGGTAGAGTGCTTGCCTCACATGCACAAGGCCTTGGGTTCAATCCCCAGCACCACATACACACACACAAAAAAGGTGGAAGATGGAAAAAACAAAAAGATTCTGCTATGCTGGGAAACTAATAAATTACAAAGTAAAGAAAACATACTAAGTTCAATTCTACTTAAATAGCCCATCCCAGCTTCATGTTCTACACAAATGGATTCAACCAACTGTGGGTTGAAAAAAAAAAAAAAAACAACAACAACACATTTGTTATGGGCCAGGCCATACGGGTAATGACCAAACAGACTCCATTTTACCCTGAGACTCCATATCATGTAAGAAATGCTTCTCCCATGGGAAAGTCCCACCTCTGTACCCAGTAACAGTTATCTAGCATAATATACTAATATACTTGGCAACACAAAATATAACAAAAATTTGTTCTCTTCTTTTTCCATTTTTCTTGGGTGATATACCCTGTCAGAGATTGATTGTCTAGACGTTAGTAACCATTCTCTAACTTGTACTCAACTAAGGTCATTTTGACCCACTTCCCTTCTGTTTGTTTGCTGCTATGCCAACCTGGAAAGTCCTGTGGGAAATACCAATGGACCCACTGCATTGCCTCACTAACTGCCCAATCCAGCTTCTGTACCTGCTTGCTTACAGCTACATCAACCTGGATGTGGTTTTTGCCTTTAAATAACTTAAAATGCTCAGGCTTGGGTCTGTTCCTTGCAGAGACAGTTATGGGTCCTGTGGGGAGCAGTCGCTGGCTGGCCAGCTAAATACAGACTCTTCAATTTGGACAAAACTGGGACTTGGTGTGTTTTCTGAGCGACCTGCCCCACAACACATTGAATCTGTATACTTTTCTCCCTGTCATTAGTCCCTTAACAATACAGTTTAAGAACCACCTACATATTTTTTACATTATATTAGGTATTGTGAATGATCTAAAGATATTTCAAGTATGTGGGAGTATGTAAATAGGTTATCTGCAAATACTGTGCACCCCTCCCCCACATTTTATATAAGGGACTGAAGCATCTGTGAATTTTGGTATCTGTGGGTCCTAGAACCTAAACCCCACTTGGCTACCAAGGGGTGACTATACTAGAAAATAGATCTCGCCCAAATCAAAAGCCACAAAGTAATTTCAACAACTCAAATTATTAAAAGCAAAAAAAATTCCCAGAAGTACTCAATGGGTTACTGAAGGGAATTTATCATAATAGAATTTCTAGCTGAAACTGAAAATGTCCTAAAATTTTTAATGTTTCAAAACACATTTTAATAAATGCATTGCATGGAAAACAAGTACAAAAACAAAAACCCTGTACCTTTGAACAGTCAGCAGTTATAAATTCTGCATTAAAAATATATTCATCACGACGATTTTTCATGTCCTCGTACCGCTGCTGACACTGTTTGACAGAAATATCAGCAATATCTGGAAAGGCAGAAGAGTGTTAGAGACCATCAACACAGAATGGCAAAATCTAGACAACAATCTCAACTGATAAACTTGGCGTGAAATCCAGCCTTGGTATCAGCAAGAAGTTCTATTTCATTTAAAATTCTTTGTCCCAGTGCAAAACTCCGCATTATTTCTCAAAAGGATCTAGGTTATGATACAAGCACTTCATCATCAATACAAAGCAGCAGCAGGAAATGCCACTGGCCACACTTCACATACTCTTCACCACTATGAACCAACTGGAAAAAGCCAGTTCGATTAATGTCCTTGATAAGTCACTAAAACATAATTTTATTAAATCTTGGTTCTTAAATACATGTCTTTTGATATTGTGTGTGATGAAATGGGAAGTAACAAAACTTGGTTTTGTCATATAACCAAATGTTGCCAGTTGCCTTACAGAACAAGCTACTGTGACTTGTTCTGAGTTGTGAGCACATTGGCCACTTTTCTTACAGAAAGTAATTCTGATGTGAAAAAATGATGGGTTAAAAAAAAATGATTATTCAGACTAGAGTATCTTAGAGACATAGATTCTTGAAAATTAAGTGTCACTTCAAAAACAACAATGGATAGTATTTGTTGCCAAAGATAAAATTTGACTTTTAAGCAAAAATTAAAATTCTGAAAAAGCTGTACTGGCCACCACTGGTAAGCAGCTTCCTAATACTTAGAGCTTTTCTCATCAATGGTGATATTAAACAAATGTGATTTCTTGGTGTCAACACTTAGAACTRCATAACTTTGCAGAATTTCCCAAATATTACAAAACCATGCAGAATGTGCAGGACACACTAATGGATTTTTATGGAACCTAGTATGGAGAACTCATCAATAAGGTAAGAGTTTCCACATTATAACAAACCTTTAAGGAACTACCACTTGTTGAGTTTTGATATAGAATCAAAGATGAATATCCACAATTATCTGAAAAGGCTATTAAAATATTTTTTTCACTTTATAACTATGTATCAACTAAAATAACATAAAACATTGACTACAGACACTACCACAAGTCTAGCTGTCTGCTATTATTCCAGTCTTTAAGGACTAGCAAAAATGTAAAGAAGTTTATTTTAATGAATCAAAACACTTTAAAACTGTTTTATTTCTAAAACCATAAATATCAATCTATAGCTAGAACCACATACACAAAAGCATTCTAGAGTCCTCAATAATTTTTAAAGTATACAGGGCTCACCAAACCAAAACCTTGGAGAGCTGCTTCTCAGGCAAACTGCAGGAGATACTGCTCTCTTTCCTCTGACTCCTCACATCACAAGGAGTGTAGCGTCTGCCTGGCTCACCGCAGGGTAAGACTGACCATGGGCCCGGTGCTAGGAGAGGAACTTAACAGTTAAGTTCCTATTACCCTTTCACTGAATGGCTAAGCATCTTGTTAAKATTGTGGCCTAGATCTATGATTTTCTAACTCTATCATTTGTCCTCTCTTTATTATGATTTTTCAATAAAGAAATTTCCTCTTTCAACCATCTGGTTTTCCTGAAATACYGTTCAGGTAGGGAAGAGGTAAGAAAAACGTTTATTCCTTCCTCTTAAAGTACTGAGTTACAAAATATAAATCTCTCAGCAACCTCTAAGAKTGAACATTAGTCTTTTTCATTTGACATGCTGAGTCACTGTTGTTTTTGATGTTCAAATTTCGACCTTGGCCAGTGGAGATCTTTGCAAATTTGTCTTGTAGACATGACTATTATCTTTGATAGCTTCCTTCCTTTGGGGAAGAACAAGTTATCACAGGCTCACTATCTATTACAAAATCATCAGAAAATTCTTACAATTAATTTTTGAAAACATCCTTCTCATACATAGCCCCTAGACACCTTACCTAAAGATGTTTTAGCTCTTGCTAATTAAGAGATCTTTCAAATTGCCCATTCCCCTGACTGATAAGACTGATCACTGGCCATTCCTTCCTAGACATGGTTAACTTACCAGTACAAATGAGCTTGCTAATTCTTCCCTTTCTCCACTTTAGCAAATCTCCACCTTTACCACATCCCAGGTCTAAAACAGTGATATCGCGATTTTTCCTCTGTCGTACCTTTTCCAAAAATTCCCCTAAGAGAGAAATCAGGCATAATAAATGATCTTAATAATGATCTTTTACTGAAGCATAAACTGTTACTTAATAATCTACCAATGTTTAATATGTAATATAAATTATTACACTTCATTTACTTAGTTATCTATAACTTAACAGTTCAAAATATGACCAAGAATTAACTAACTTGATCTGTATCTGAAGACTGGCACTTCAGAAAGTTAAGGCAGCTTTTTGAAGGTTACTTTTAGAATCTGAGTCAACATCAAACAGTAAATGTTTCAAATTCTAATTTATACAAGAAGATGCAATAAGAGAAAAAAACTATTCATTCTTTTTAGCTTTCTGTTTCTAGGTGTTCAATTACACATTGACTAATAGTTTCTGATTCACATAAAAGCAATCAGGCTTACCACTAAAAGAAAAACAAAAACTTGTTGAAAAACTCTACTCACCTTTTAATTTTCAGATCATCAGAATCTTTAAACATCCTTATCTACTGAAATACATTAATAGCCAACAAATAAAAATCATAGGTGCCCAAATTAATAACCAAGTAGAACAACCTCAGTTAAAGGATTGTTAACAAAGTATTCAGCAATTCCAAAACTTGACATAATAAAGAATCCTAGGATCCACTTTCCCTGTTTTTATCAGAGTTCAACACTTTCTAGGTTCATGCATGTACTACTATTTTGATGCTAAAACATTCTATACAAATACTTCTGCCTTTCAATGTCTATAAGATCTGAAAGTAAATTTGAGAGAAGCACAAGTGTTCCATATTTAATTTTGTCATGAATCTTAAAAAAATATCATGAAAACAACCAGAGAGAGTTAATAAATAATTATAAAATCTATTTCTACATAGTAAGGCTCAAGAGGAAAATTACCATGAAACATTATTAAAAAAAAAAAAAAACTTTATCACATTCAAGAACTATTACTAAGCTATAAGCACTACAAAAGCAAAAATGAATAATAAAGAATGTGTTTAGAAGATAAAGGAAACACCCAAAGGGAGCTTGGCACAGATCACACTAACTGCATTACAAGCAAGACAGGTGTGGACCACAAAGAGCTCTTTGAAAGAATTGCTGCTCCTAATTATAAATATAATGTACATAAAATGTGGCAAATATGGGCTTAAAATATTTATTAAATGAAAAAAATACATGGCTAAATGATACATTGTTAAAAAAAATATCCAGTAAGTTACCTGCTTCAATGAGGATAATTAAGACAAAAACATCTGAAAAGAAATTAGGACTAGGTCAGAGCCTAAAGAAGAGAGGCTGAGCCCAATACTTTGGGCTGGTTATGTAGCTTAATGGTGGAGCACTTGCTAAGCATATACAAGGCCCTGGGTTCTTTCCCCAGGACAGAAAAACTAAAAAAAAAAAAAAGAGGCTGAAAAATGCCACAATGTTAGTCTTAAAAAAAAAAAAAAAACTCAGAGAAGCAGACACTCATTTACCCTAGCCAACAATGGCAGAATCAAATAAATCACGTTTCTATAATGTAATAAGAAAATGTTATTTAATGTTAAAAATAAAAATGACAAAGAAAAATGGTTTGAAATTAGCCTAGTTAATTCCTACTCCTAATGCTTCTCAGAATAGATGATTTTTTTTCCTTTGAAAACTATTAAGTTATCATCAAAACCAGTAGAAAATACTCATAATTAACACTTTATTCATTCTAATATATTAAGAATGCATTCTTGCTTTTGCTTAAACTGGCTAAAAAAATAGAACAAAATAACCCTTTTGAAAAGCTTCAAAACACACCAGCCTTCAAATACTCTCTAAACTCGTGTACCATAAGTCTACCCATTAATTATAATTATATTCTGAATTATATTTTGTCCACTCTCTTCCATTTTAATTTCAAAGTAAGTTTCCATAGATAAAATGTTGGTTTCAAAAAGTTTAATGTTTTTATTAATCCTCAAAGTAAACTTTATTTCTTATAAGAAATCATCCAACCCCTCCCTTGCCAAAGTTCAATGGACCATCAATGCCAACTCACTAAAGGACCAGAGATTAAAAAACAAACCTAATAACAAATCTCTTGACGCGGCCCATTTTCTTTACTTAGTGTAACCAATGCAGCAACAGGCTAATGCTCAACAACTGTTAGAGTCAAATAACCACTTAATAGTACTAGACCACCTGAATTCTAAGTAGAAAGTAGCACACTGGTTTTTGAAAAAGTCTGATCAACTTAACATCAATACCCTAGGCAATCAAACAAAAGTATATAGGAGCCATGCAAGGTGGTGCACACCTATAATCCCAGTGGCTTGGGAAGCTAATACAGGAGGATGGCAATTCCAAAGCCTGCYTCAGCAATTTAGCAAGGCCCTCAGCAACTTAGTAAGACCCTGACACAAAAAATTTTTAAAAAGGGCTGGAATATAGCTCAGTGGTTAAACATCTCTGGGTTTGGTCAAATCCTGGTACCAAAATGAAAAAAAGAGAAAAAGAAAGTAAATAAGAAAAAGATTTATCTCAAACGTCTGTTTTGGCTCCAGCTTTATAAAGTCAAGGTTTTGATTACTGAATGAATAAGAATTAAAAACCCAGTAGTTTGAAATATGGTTAACAATGGGAAGGGAAAAAATAAAGAGGAAAGCTAGGGCTGGGGATATAGCTCAGTGATAGAACCCTTTCCTAGCAAGCTCAAGGCCCTGGGTTCAATTCCCAGCACTGCAAAATAATTAAATAAAATTTTAAACAGCCTCCATACTAAAAAGAAAAAACGAACCATACCTATAAGCACACTTTTAATCCAATTATTAAAGTTTCTTAGGTAAAAAATACGACTTTGACTACGCTTGTCCAAACCAACTTCCTTAAGCTCATTATAGTGGGCAGCTACTGTTGAACTGTGTCCTCCTTCCAAGTTCTGAAAATAGAAGAAAGAAAATTAAGGTTCAAGGTTCAGAACATGGTATAAAAACAACAATAACAAYAACAAAAAAAGCCCAACAATAGCAACATAAAACCAAATCACCTCAGAATACCTGACTTATGGAAGAAAAAACAATTACTGAAGTAAACCTTACTAAGCAAAGGCATTATCCATGTAAATGCCACTAATCATTACCAGACCCAAGGTGTGTTCTCCCCTATTCCCTATGAAAAACAATCTAGGTTTAAAATTTTTATATCGATTTTTCAGCTGTATAATTTTAATGACAATATCTTAATAAAACCAATCTATTGTGTTCCAAGAGAATAAAACAGAAACAAGCTATTACATTTGTTATATTATTATAAAATTGTTATGAGGATTAAACATAAGGTAATGTTTAAAGAGATTAAAAGATAGTAGGCTATGCTCAGTGTCAGTGACCCCCACTATAYACTATTAATTTAAATCAACAATTTTCAATCTGCATTCTATAAAGACACTAGGCATTATATAAAAATTCCGTAGTGGGTAAAGGGCTTCAGATTCTCCCACCTTCCTTATCCTTGTCTTTTATCTACCTTACATGTGGGGTTTAAGGATAAAATTTCATTTGGAAAAAAGAAACAAAAACATGCCAGTAAATCTCTGAAAAACTACATATAAAATACAAGCTTCCCTTTCTTTCAAGAACACCAACACGAAAAGCTTGGCCTGCCTCTTTAGGAACAATGGCCAAAATTTTGCTCCTCCTTTACTTTTCTCTCCAACTCCAGATTCTGTCTCAACTTTCCAATACTGTAAATGATTTGCTATCCTTTGCTCCCCAATTTCCCTGGCAAATATCAGGGAAATTTCATCAATTGTATTTAAACTACACTAATGAGAAGTTTGGTATGGCTGTAGTTCATAGACAAAGATGGCTATTAATTAAAGTGGCGCCAGATCCTCAAAAAGAAGTTGGAGATAAATGCAGTTTAATTACATCAATAAAGGAATGTGGACCAGAGTATGATTTTGAAATTTGTCACTTTAAGTGACCATCTTAATTACCTCAGACAAAACCAAAAGAATGAATACTCAATGAAAAGGGAAATAGTAAATAAATCATGTGGACCTCATATATTCTTCTCTTTTTAAAAAAACAATGGCCTTCAAGTTTCTGGTAAKAATTCTGAAATAACATAAAAATTACTTCATGTGATTCAAGTTCACTCTAACAAAAATTAAATGCTAATAATTAAAAGCCTATTGTGTCTTAAAGCCACATTTAGTAAAACTAGAATATTCTTAACTTATAAAGATTATTTAACAACCAGCGTTAATTCACATCTGCTCCAGATTTCCAGCTAACATATTCTACCACAAATAAAACCCATTTCACATACCTTCTGCCTTTCAGGAACATCCTCAAGTTCTACTTTTCTCTTTTTCTGGGTGCCATCTCCAGTCGAAGGTTCATCTTTCAGATCATCAGTTTCTAGTTTCCTTTTCCTTGAAACACCTTCAACATCATCAGAACCTTTTTCCTCTGGGACAACTTCAACATCAAGTTTTCTTTTCTTGGATGGACTGTCTTCCTCATATCTGGAACTTTCCTCTACAAGATCATCTTCAAATTCTTTTCTCTTCTTTGGTGTGTCTACTTGMCCACAGGCAGAAGTCTTTACAGAAAACCCAGTCCCAGAAGCTGTTGTGGTTTCATCAATACTGAATGAAGTCTCTGTTTCAGAATTTACTGATGTTTTTGCCTGTTCAAGAGCCATTTTTTAATATTCCTCTGCTTTTGCAGAATTTTCTATTCTTGATTATTTGAATCGATGATAAAACTTCATGAACCAACACTAGAATGGCAAGAATTTTACGTTATTTACAAACACTAATGCCCAAACTCTAAAACAATTTTAAATAGAAGCTGGTCATTTAATTTCATTATCTCACTGTAGAGAGAATATTGCAAAATGTTAATATATGTGTATTAGATATGAATTTCTGTAATTATTCATAAAAATCACTATGGGCATTAAAATTGACAAAAGAAGCAAGGATATACAAATAAGGTGGAGCATCCTAATTCCCAAATCCCAAGTTTTTTGCAGTACCCAACAGAAGCACACACTTTATTAGTAAGCAACTGTGGTTAACTGAAAACTAAGCACAAATATTACTCTTTTCCCAATGCATGTGTAGTAATTTTCTAAACTAAAATTGATAGAATGTAAAYACTTATTAAATCCTTTGGATTAAACTACTTAATAAAGGGAACTGTTAGATATCTCTTCTGGTTTAAGGGGCTAAGTGAATCAAGAAGAGAAAAAGGAATTGAATAGCAAGAACTACTGAAGTACTTATTTCATAATGGGCATTCCAATTAGGTGAAAAGTGAAGAGAGTTGAAATGGCTCTAGACAAATTTCAAGATCAGCCTGCAGTTTAATAACCAGTAAGTTTTTTTCAAATATGTTCTTTGGCCTACGGAAGGGAGAGATATAGAACTGAAATATCTTTTGGACAGGAATTATTATGGTGGTTTGCTTATTATGTTAGTAAATTTACTGCTCTCCTATTGCAGAGGAGCTCTATGTGAATTATGTGTTCAAGAAACTTACTACATACATACTACTATTAAACTGTTAAACAGTATTATTCAAAGGAAGTAGAAAAGGGAAAGCAAAAGTTCAACCAAAAAAAAAAAAAAAGAAAATGCGAGATACATTAAATGTAGAATAAATTCAGAACCTGGAAATTATGAAGAGGGATTTTTTTTTCTTTTTTTAGCCTTGTGCACAAAGAAAAAGAATGTCAAGTTGCTTAAGGGAATAGATATAAAGAGTCACTATGAGACCCAGATGGATTTCAAGGAACATTAACTTTCACTGGTTGGGTAAGGTATTTTGTTACCAGTACCAAAAGATGTAAAGCAGGAAGAACTGATTAGGGGGAGGAGGGGGGTCAACCAGAAAAGTAATTTGCAGACTAACTATTTAAAATGATTATCTAGGAAAACTGGCCTCCGAATTACCAGATTTCTATTTCTCCTCCTTCATTTATTTCTTACAAAGAAAAAGATTTTACGTTCAAATAAAACACTCTGGTTTATCATCTTCCGCTGCAATTATCGCCTAAAATTAGCCCTGGAACTTCAGCGTGGACTGTATTTACAGTATTTACACCAGGCAATCTTTCCATACATGCGCTACATAATCCCCCAGAATAGAGGGCATAGCACCCAGGAGGCCTGCAGTAATGGATAAGGACACTCAAAACCGGGCGTCAACTGGCTCAGGGCTTCGCTGGAACGGGCCTGCCCACCGTGGAGGCTGCACCCCAGAATCTCACAGGCGCACTCTCCAAACCGACTCGAGCTGGCCCCAGAATCCCAGCAGCCGCGGGCCGCAGACCCCGGGGGAAGCGCGGGGTGCCGAGCGAGGCTCTGGACCACGCCTCCGGAGCCGGCTCCGCCGCCGGCCTACACCTCCCGGGACCAGTTCGCCGCCCGGCCGTCAGCTCGCCTGTCAAGCCAGGGCGCGAGACCACGCCACAGAAGGGCCTCCTCAGCCGCGGTCCCCTTACGTCACCCGCGCGGCCTAACGCTGGACCTGGATTCAGGCTTCTGTGGCGCCGCTCGGACAAAACGAGCCCGCTCGGGACCTCACGCCGGGCCCGCCCCGGGCGCGCGCTGGTGCGGCTCTGCGACGTTCGCGCGGGCCCGCGCGCTGCGGAGGAGCCATAGTYCGCCCGCCCGCCCGCACGCCCCGAGCAGCAGCCACTCTGCCGAGCGCCGGGGGCTCCGCGCGGCCGGTGCGGGAGGCGCACGGCTCGTGCGAGGCGAGCCCGGCCTGGAGTCGGCGTGCTCTTTCTGCTGCCCCCTCCAGCCGACAGGCTAACGACAAAACAGCACCGGACGGCCGCCGCTCCGCCGGCCACACTCACCTACACAGCCACCCACGATTCTGTTTGCGGAAACGGCGGCTCCGCGCCACGCGAGTCTTGTTACGCCACTTCCGGGGGCGCGAGGTCACGTGTCAGGACGTCCGGGCTGGGAGCGCGCCTCCTCCGCGCCGGAACTACGAGTCCCGAGGTGCCGCGCGCGGCAGCGTGCAGAGAAGCACCTTGGCGCGGGAGGCCGAGCGCATTGGTGGTGGGCGCGGCTGGCGGCCGGGGGCGTGGGGCCGAGTGTCCGCCGGAGCGCCGCGGGTACGCCGGCCTGACCCGCGTCAAGTGGCTCGGCCCAGGACTCCCGCGGCCTCCGAGGAGCTGTGGTCAGGCTGTGCAGCGGGAGCGGCGGCTCCGGTCGTGAGGTAGCCTGGGCCCCAGACCCGTGGGGCCGCGGGAAGGCCCCGGAGGGCACCTTCAGCGCGGGCACGGACCCGGCAGCTGGCTGGCGCGCGCCTCTCCGCTGGCAGGGCGGAGTGGTCCGCGCCCGCCGTCCCGCGCCGAGGGGTCACCTCTGCCTGGCGGCGGTGCACCCTTTCCAGCCGGCGTCGGAACCCGGGCCCTCTGCTGTTACCTTCTCGGGAGCGGGTGGGAGGGCGGCCCGGAGGCGTCCGCTGTGCAGCGTCCTCTGCTTAGGGACGAGCAGGTCGTCTCGTCCCGCGGTACTTGGGACCTTCCTCCGCGCAGGCCCCGCTCCGCTGTCAGGTTCCAAGGCGGCCCATAGGTGCTGGAGGAACCCCTTGCGCTCTGTTCTGGATCGGCTGGACTTTGGCTTGGTCTGGGGCGGGAGGAGGCGACGCGCGGTCTTTGACCATCACCCTGGATTTCCACTGGGGAGTCGGGAGGCGCCTACTGTACTGAAGCCCTGGTTCTGGGCATTCGCCCCGAGATTGGGGTCGGAACTGTGCCTGTGAATGAACAGAGTTGCTSATGCTTGTTCGTATTACCATTGCTGAGCCACACCTCCCGCCTAAAGAGGGCAAAGAGTGGATTTAGAATCCATCTAGTGTTAGGCTTTACCAAAATTGATCCCTTTAAAAGCGGTCATGGATATGTGTTTTACCAGGCTATCTTATTGATTTTGGTACAGTGATATTAGTTAATGGACTGGGCTTTGGAGAGAGCTATATTCGCAGCATGTGCCTCCCAGGCTGATCACTGATAAATTGTGGGTGTTAGCCCTTCCCAGGTAACCTGTTGACCCTTTGTAAACTTTGAACCAAGAAAGAGACCCATTTTTAATAAATACGGAAGAGCTATCAATTTTGGAGGACTGTCCTTGTATTATGTGTAAATAGCTGGATTAAGAATTAGCCTTTGAGTTCCTGAATATTGGCAACCTCATAGGTATAGGTCCTAGAGATTAAGAGTGCTTTTTACCTATTCAAACATTAGAAGTGGGCATTTGCTCCTTCTAAYGTTTTGATTTTGGTTTCTTGAAATAATTGCTGTTATAAATTTTGAGAAAGTGAATCTAATTTTGACCTTAAATTTTTTTTTCTCATTAGATTAAAAGTCTCTTAATACATGCAGACTTCAGGATCAGTTGACACTATACCATGGGATATGTAAAGATCACATTTTTTAGCTTTTGTAAAACTTAACTAGATATGATGTAAAACCAATTGAAAAGAGAGAAAGAATTCTTAATGGTGAAAGAGAGTAAATAGTCCAGATAAAAATGTTTTACAAGTTACCATTGGTGTTATTTTCCCCTATTATTGCCTGAGTAACCTAATCTCTGGWTCTTTGGAAATTGAATGAAAGTAATAGATAATGCTTTAATAACCTCTGTGTGCCAAACTAAGCACTTTGCACATTTGTGCTCACTCAGTTCTTCTGCAATCCAGTAGAGTTATGATTATCTTTGTATTATAGATGAGGATGAAGTAACTTTGCCAAGTCATGCACCAGTGAGTAGTGGACTCAAGCTGCAGACACTAGAATCTCTACCAGTAATGAAATAGTGCCTGCTCAAAGGCCATATATGGCAAATGAATTTTCAGAGGAAYGCTTCCGATACTTAACACTTTGGTTACTATGATCAGAGAGAAAAATAGCTGGATAAGGATGTTGTCTTGCTCGAATATGAGCTCTGCCAAGACAGGGATCATTATTTTGTTCAGTGATTAACTCAGGTTCCTTGAACAGTACCTGGTACAAAGTAGATGCTTATTGAATAAATGAATCTTCACATAGAATTTACTTCAAGACATTTATAACAAAGTGAGAGCACTTTTCTCAGAGATACAATTTTAATGTGTGATTTCTGTTGTAGAGTTGAAGATAATATACTGAAAACATAAAAACTGCTTTTAGAATGAAGATATAGTGTTAGAGCTTCCTAAGAATGGTGGTGTTCTGTGGAGGCAGGAAAGAAAGTTGTTTGACAGGTTTGTTTCACCAGATAGTATAGAGCAAGGAGTGTTCCTCGTCTTCTGTTTAATATAGTGTTCATACTGAAATTTTACCATCCTTTTGGAGCAGGTAAAATATTCTTGTTTAAAGCTTTTTTTTTTCTTTTTTACAGTGGAAAGTAATATTTGGTTGAAAAATCTGTAAGTTTACTATATGTATTGATTAATTTGATGTCAGTCTAGCTCGGCTATTTAATGAAATACTTATCTAGGTGTTGCTGTGATAGTATTTTGAAGATGTARGTAACTGTTGAATTTAAGGTGATTGCCCTCAATCTTGTTATATCGATCAAGATATAGTTATTGATACTTAATTTTTGCATCTACATCTGTATGTTTTTCTTTTTATTTATATTTCTGGAAAAGCCTGATTCTAGTTGATACTGAGAGGTGCTAGAAAATCTTGAGGATGTTTCTGAACTTGTTCTGTGGTTTCTGAAATTGATTCTTTACTGTCATTATATTCCAAGGATCTAGTGAATATTTCCAGTGGTCAGGAGGACACAATATTGTGTGACATTTTATGGCTATAGAAATATGCAGAATCTCCACTGGTACTCTTATTGGAATGATTATGGAAGGCAAGAGTCTAACTRATCATATATTCGATATCTTAGGATGTTTTTATCAAATTAATGAGTATGATAAGATTAGCTGATTGTTCCTAACTGTACTGGATAAAGTAGGGGAAGAAAAGGACATGCTCAGGATTTTATTTTCCTAGCTCATATAAATGACYTGAACATGCCTGCCCTAAAGAAACCGCTCTCTCCAGTAGCTACAGAGCTAAGATTGCTAAAATCCAAACCCAAAGTGGCTGAATAGAATGCAAATTGAATTTTCAACTTCATGGGTTGTATGCTGTTAAAATGGCATTGATTGGAAAGGAGTGGAGTCCCCATAATTTGAATGGGACATAAGAGAAAATCCTGATGAAACTAGGATATTAAGACCCTAAATTCTGCTCAGTCTTTTTCTCAGTCCTTCCACCTCTGCTTAACAAGGTAATCCTGTTTGACCTGAAGAACCCGTGATGACCTCCCTTGGGGTAGTTGCTTTGCTAAGACACTGCTTGTTCTCCTCAGTGCCTACCCCTACCACCCCTTTGCTTCTAGAACTATATTTAGAATTAAGTCCAGCAGGTCCTGAAGAATGAGCTGAAGAGTGCAATTCATGAGATGTGCTATTTTCCTAAAATGTGCATGGGAATATGTCAGAAATAGATGTCAAGGGCATGGAATAATGATGGAAGGAGCATAATTTGGATCAGGCTACCTTTCCCCAAAGGGTTGTAGAGATTAGTGTACTTGAAGGCAGCAGATGTCATTTCTGCCATATTCTGATTCAGTTCACCTATTTGGTCTACACAAAAAAACAGATTGAACTTGGAAAATAGCAGTGAATTACATAAATTTAATGGGGTGGTGACCAATTACAACTGCTGTTCCAGATGTCATTTCATTGCTTGACCAAATTAACTTATGTCCTGGTAACTGGCATGCAGGTATTGATCTGCCAGATGCTCTTAGTATCTGTTATTAAAGACCACCAAAGGCAGTTTGTTTTTATCTAGTAAAGCCAGAAATTCACTTTCGCTGCCCTACCTCAGGGCATATCAACTTTCCAGCTCTGTTGTAATTTAGACCACAAGGACCTTGCTACTGGTTGAATTGTGTCCCKTAAAGATTCATATATTGAAGTCTGAGCTCTCAGTGTTTCAGAATGTGACTTTATTTGGGAATAGCATTGTTGCAGATGTAATTAGTYAAAATGAGGTCATCATACTGGAGTAGTGTGGGCCTTAATCCAGTGCAACTGGTGTACTTATAAAAGGGAAATTTGGGCACAAACAAGTACACAGGGGAATTGCCTTGTAAAAAATGAAGACAGAAATTGGAGTGATATTTCTGCCAGCCAAGGAATGCCAAAGATTGCCAGCAAATAAATTTAGAAGCAAGGGGAGAGAGCATGAAACAGATTCTTCCTTACAGCCCCTAGAGRGAACCAACCCTGAGGACTCCTTGACCTTGGACTTCTGACCTTCAGAACTGGAGATAATAAATTCCAGTTGTAACAACATAAGTTTAAGCCACTTAGCTTATGACCTCTGTTATGGCATCTCCAGCAAACTAATGCAGACCYTGGCCAGCTTTCCCTTCCACAAGGCATCACACTGGCACATTATATGCCATGAGACTGATTGGACCTGGTGAGCAAGAAGTAACAAATATACCAGACAAAAAAATCCCCACTCTGCATACAYAGAACTTGCTGGTAAAACACGTACATGTCAAATGGCAGGAAATAAACCCTTAAATTCAGGAGCTTCCACCTCAGTGAAATTTCTAGTGGTCCATTGATATAGAGCATGTCCCTATCTACAGAAGAAAAACAGCAGTAAGGTCTACAGGGCCTCTTTGGATTGTGATAACTTACTCATTTGGTTGTGTTTCTCCAGCCCATTTATGGAGTGACCCAAGAAGCTACTAGTTTTGAGTGGGCTCAAAACAAGAGTGTTCTGCAATAGGTTCAGGCTGCTTTGCAGGCTGCTCTGCCACACTGGGACCTTGTGGTCCCACAGATGCCACTGTGCTGGAAGCATTGGTGGCAGGTTGAAATGCTGGTTTGATCCTTTGGCAGGTTACTGTAGGTGAACCAGTACATAG